GGTACAGTGGCTTGGTCTTTGACCTGTTGGGGGACCAAAAGTTAAAATGGCACCAACCGATGGCTCCATCTCTATTGCTATTTTCTCACTCAGGAGAAATTTAAAAATCCAAACAGTACTGCGGCTTGGCTTGGACGCGCTCTAATCCAGACCAGTCAGTTTTGCCACCTGAAAACTAAAGGCCCGTTGTTTGAGGACAGCTCGGCAGCCCTCGTCGCATCCAAGGTGGAGCAGCGGGAGCTGGGGGCGGCCTGGAGCATCCCTGCACAGTGGGCGCGAGCACCCAGGCTACCAGGCCCCCAAGCGTCCGTTCCACAAGTACTGTGTCAGGAACAGATAGTAGGGACCACAAGGACAGGCGGGCAGGGGCCGGGCTCTCCACCTCGGCGGTGAATTTGGAGCCCCTCGGTGTGGCCGCGCACGGGGGCGCACTCAAGCACTAGTGGCGGTAGCTCCTGCACCTCACCAACACTTAACTGAGCGCCCGCTGAGCAACCAACGCTGCCGCTGGCTGAGCCTACCGCCTAGCCAGGCTGCCTCTGTTCAATGCTCTAACCCCTCTACCAGAAGAGTGAGAGGCCCGGAGAGGTTCGGTAACTTGCCCAAGGTCACAGCGCTAGAAAGTGGCGGAGCCGGGACTGGCAGCTACGTCTTTCGGACTCCAAGTCCGACTCTCGGCGAGGCAGGGACACTGTGAGAGGTCGGCCTCGCTGCCCTCGTTTATAGGGAGAGAGGTGTGTGCGTGGGTGTGCGTGGCTGTGTGGGCGTGCGTGTGGGGGAGAGCAGAGGTCGATTGGGTGGTAGAGGCAAGTTGCCCAAATTCGCTAACTTCCATCCCGCAATTCCCCTGAACTCAGCCCGAAAAGCCCCTCTCGCCTCCAGCCCCCAACGGAAACCTGAGCTTTGTGTAGCTCCGGAGCCCAAGCGTCCAGATACGGTCCCGGCGTTTAGCAAAGTCGGTGGAAGCCAAGCTGGAGAAAGCGCGGGCGCGGGGAGAAAAGGTGCTGCCGTCTCCCCGGGAGAAGCGGGCGCTTGGCGCCGCTGGCCGGCAGGCGGGAGCGCTGACAACGAACAGACTCACGCTGACGGGCTAGTGGCCGGCGGCCCCTCTACCCCCAGCAGAGCAGCTCTTGATCAGAAAACAACTCCCGCAGAATCCCCCGGCCCGCCGGGCCGCAGCCCGTTCCCCACACTCGCTCCGCTGGAGTCCCTCGGCCCCGCTGCCCAGCCCAGCGCCCTGCCGGGCGGCCCGGCTTACCTCAGCGAAGCCTCCTGCCTTGGAGAAGGAAGCGCGGAGCCCGGTGAGCC